CCCCCCAAAAGTGGACAGGACCCCCCCTCCCCCAAGGGGGTTGGGACCTCCCCCCACACCCCAGAAAATTGGGGACCCCCAAGAATTGGGACCCCCCCCCCCGAAAGTTGGGGACCCCCAAAGATTTGGGACGCCCCCAAAACTGGGGACCCCAATAAAAAACGGGGGGGGGGGAGCCCCTCCAGTTTAGGACCCTCTGCAAATGTGGGGTCCCCCCTCAGGAGTTGGGGACCCCTCCCCAAAATTTGGGGACCCTCCGGGGGGTACTGAGGAAGTGGAGGTGGGGGCGCACCCCAAAAAAACCCGGAGGGTTCCCAGGTCTTTTTGGGGTTTCCAGATGTTTTTTGGGGGTTCCCGGGTATTTTTGGGGTTCCCAGGTGTTTTTGGGGTCCCCGGGTATTTTGGGGGGGGTCCCGGGTGCCGCCCCTCCCCCATCCCCAGTGAAGCAGCGCCGCGGTGCGGGGGGCGGGGGTTGCGCATGCGCAGCGGTGCGAAGTGGGCGGGGTCAGACCCGCAAAGGGGGCGGGGTTATGCGCGGGGGGCGTGGCCAGGGTGAGGGCGCCCCCTCCCGGCTGACCTGCGGCGCCGTCGGGGGTCTCAGGCGGTGACGAGCGCTGGGGACAGAAGGGGAGAGGGGAGGGGTCACCCCGGGAGGGACCCCCCACTATGGGGACAGGGACAGCCGGGAGGGACCCCCGGTGGGGACAGGGACCCTGCTATGGGGACAGGGACACCCGGGAGGGACCCCCGGTGGGGACAGGGACCCTGCTATGGGGACAGGGACACCCGGGAGGGACCCCCGGTGGGGACAGGGACACCCTATGGGGACAGGGACCCCCTAAAAGGGACAGGGACACCCTATGGGAACAGGGACCCCCTGTGGGGACAGGGACCCTCAGTGGGGGCAGGGACCCTGCTATGGGGACAGGGACCCCCTGTGGGGGCAGGGACACCCGGGAGAGACCCCCGGTGGGAACAGGGACCCTCTGTGGGGACAGGGACCCCCTAAAAGGGACAGGGACCCCACTATGGGGACAGGGACACCCCGGGAGAGACCCCCCCACTATGGGGATAGGGACAGGGACCCCCCTATGAGAACAGGGACCCCCTGTGGGGACAGGGACCCCCTAAAAGGGACAGGGACCCCCTAAAAGGGACAGGGACACACTATGGGGACAGGGACCCCCTGTGGGGGCAGGGACACCCGGGAGGGACCCCCTGTGGGGACAGGGACCCTCTGTGGGGACAGGGACCCCCTAAAAGGGGCAAGGACCCCACTATGGGGACAGGGACCCCCTATGGGGACAAGAACACTCCGCTATGGGGACAGGGACCCTGCTATGGGGACAGGGACACCCGGGAGAGACCCCCGGTGGGGACAGGGACCCTGCTATGGGGACAGGGACCCCCTAAAAGGGACAGGGACCCCCTGTGGGGACAGGGAGCTCCCCCCCCGCCCCCCTTCGCATGGGCGGAGCCCGCAGCCAGCCCCGCCCCTTGCACGCGCGTGTGCAAGGGACACCCAGAGCCCCCCAGCGCCGGGGGGTCTGTGCAAGCTCTGCCCCCCCAGTTTGTCCCAGTTTGGGGGGGCTGTGCAAGCTCTGCCCCCCCAGTTTGTCCCAGTTGGGGGGGCTGTGCAAGCCTTTCCCCCCCCAGTTTGTCCCAGTTTGGGGGGGCTGTGCAAGCTCTGCCCCCCCAGTTTGTCCCAGTTTGGGGGGGCTGTGCAAGCTCTGCCCCCCCAGTTCCCCCAGTTTGGGGGAGGGGCGGGGGGGAGGCACATGCAGGAAGGGGGAGGAAAAATTTGGGGACCCCCCAGTGGGGTTTTGGGGTACCCTGGGGGGGGAGTTCGGGTACCCCAGGGGGTAATGGGGGGGCTGGGGCCCCCCAGGGGTACTGGGGTGACATGGGGGAGGGGTTTGGGGACCCCCAGAATTTGGGGGTACGCGGGGGGGGGCAAAATTGGTATCCCCAGGATTGGGGGGTACCCCGGGGGGGTTTATCATTACCCTGAGTATTTTGGGGTGCCCCGGGGGGGGCTGACCCTTACCTCCAGGATTTGGGGGGTCTCACCCGTACCCCAGGATTTTGGGGGGGCTCACCCTTACCCCCAGGATTTTGGGGGGTCTCACCCTTATCCCCAGGATTTTGGGGTGCCCTGGGGGGGCTCACCCTTACCCCCAGGATTTTGGGGGGCTCACCCGTACCCCAGGATTTTGGGGGGGTCTCACCCGTACCCCCAGGATTTTGGGGGGGTCTCACCCTTACCCCCAGGATTTTGGGGGGTCTCACCCTTACCCCCAGGATTTTGGGGGGTCTCACCCTTACCCCCAGGATTTTGGGGGGGCTCACCCGTACCCCCAGGATCTGGGGGTGCCCAGGGGGGTCTCACCCTTACCCCCAGGATTTTGGGGGGTCTCACCCTTACCCCCAGGATTTGGGGGGTCCCACCCTTACCCCCAGGACTTTGGGGGGTCTCACCCTTACCCCCAGGATTTTGGGGTGCCCAGGGAGGTCTCACACGTACCCCCAGGATTTGGGGGGGCTGACCCTTACCCCCAGGATTTTGGGGGCGTCTCACCCTTACCCCCAGGATCTGGGGGTGCCCTGGGGGGTCTCACCCTTACCCCCAGGATCTGGGGGTTTCCTGGGGGGTCTCACCCTTACCCCCAGGATTTGGGGTGCCCCGGGGGGGGCTGACCCTTACCTCCAGGATTTGGGGGGTCTCACCCGTACCCCAGGATTTTGGGGGGGCTCACCCTTACCCCCAGGATTTTGGGGGTCTCACCCTTACCCCCAGGATTTGGGGGGTCTCACCCTTACCCCCAGGATTTTGGGGGTCTCACCCGTACCCCCGGATTTTGGGGTGCCCGGGGGGGGTCCCGCACCCACCTTTGCGCAGGGGTCCCTCGGGGGGGGGCGCGTAGTCGGGCCCCAGCAGGAAGCAGGCTCTGTCGCGGCCGCAGCGCTCGCGGCCCCCCCCGGCCGCGTTTTGGGGGGCCCCCCCGCGCTCCTCGGGGGACAGCGGCTGGTCGATGGGGGGGCAATCCTCCTGCGCCAGCGCCGCCCGCCCCGCCTCGCCGTTGGGCCGCGACTCTGCACGGGGGCACCCCGAAATTGGGATGGGAACCCCAATGGGGATGGGAACCCGAAATGGGGATGGGGACCCAAATTGGGATGGGAACCCCAAAATTGGGATGGGAACCCCAAAATTGGGATGGGAACCCAAAATGGGGATGGGAACCCCAATGGGGATGGGAACCCGAAATGGGGATGGGGACCCAAATTGGGATGGGAACCCCAAAATTGGGATGGGAACCCAAAATGGGGATGGGAACCCCAATGGGGATGGGAACCCGAAATGGGGATGGGGACCCAAATTGGGATGGGAACCCCAAAATTGGGATGGGAACCCAAAATGGGGATGGGAACCCCAATGGGGATGGGAACCCGAAATGGGGATGGGGACCCAAATTGGGATGGGAACCCCAAAATTGGGATGGGAACCCAAAATGGGGATGGGAACCCCAATGGGGATGGGAACCCGAAATGGGGATGGGAACCCCAAATGGGGATGTGAACCCCAAAATTGGGATGGGAACCCAAATTGGGATGGGAAATCAAAATGGGGATGGGAACCCAAAACTGGGATGGGAACCCCAATGGGGATGGGAACCCCAAATTCGGATGGGAACCCCGAAATTGGGATGGGAACCCAAATGGGGATGGGGACCCGAAATGGGGATGGGAACCCAAAATGGGGATGGGGAACCCCAAAATGGGGATGGGAACCCCAAAATTGGGATGGGAACCCCAATGGGGATGGGGACCCGAAATGGGGATGGGAACCCCAAATGGGGATGGGAACCCCAAATTGGGATGGGGAACCCGGAATTGGGATGGGAACCCGAAATGGGGATGGGAAAGCCAAAATGGGGATGGGAACCCGAGATGGGGATGGGGACCCAAATGGGGATGGGGACCCCGAAATGGGGATGGGAACCCCAATGGGGATGGGGACCCGAAATGGGGATGGGAACCCCAAATTGGGATGGGAACCCAAAATGGGGATGGGAACCCGAAATGGGGATGGGGAACCCGAAATGGGGATGGGGAACCCGAAATGGGGATGGGAACCCCAATGGGGATGGGGACCCAAATTGGGATGGGAACCCCGAAATGGGGATGGGGATCCCGAATGGGGATGGGACCCCCAAATTGGGATGGAAACCCGAGATTGG